GACCAGGCAGGGTTTAAACTATACTTGGTCATTAGGCGGTCAAAACATGCCCCAGCCCAACTAAAGTTTATAGGAAATGTCTTTAAGTTCAAAACCTACCTCTAAAATGCGCTGGAAGGGGTCGAAGTCCTCTTGGAGGGGGCGGATCACTCCATACCGAGGCGGATCGCTCAACATACGCTGTGCAGAGTCGCGTGCTCGACTAGCGGTCGTTGCGGGACCGCCGCGCTGTATGAGGTCGATTCCATAAGAACGCAATTGAAGCGCTTCAATTTCGATTGCTGGCAAATAGTTATGTATTTGCAAGCATGCATGGCTATTTGCCAGCAGTTGCAATTGGAGCGCATGTACTACGGGCAGGTTCGGACAACTCGTCCAACACACGTCTCCCTAAACGGCAGGGGGAGTCCCTGTCTAAGCCCCTGCCCGACGTTTTTTTCTACTTTTTCTTTCTCCATTGACCAACTTCTCACCTGCAACGTCATTATAGGTGGTCCTTACCCGCGAATTCGTTCCTGGATTGTTGCTTTAAATATTACTTTGATACTTCTAAATTTATGGTTGTTCGATGTTTCTTCATTTATCATCAATTTGCTTTTTCATCGGAACCGTTTCTAATCGGTGGAACTGGAATCGTCTATAATCAATACTTATAAGAACGAACACTTAACTTTGTCATCAATCAATCAATTACCTTACTCCTTGCTGATCATGACAGAACAGAACTCATATTGCCATCTGCTAGGGCTGGAAAAGATAGAAGGAACTGCCTACGAAGCGCTACAGTATATTTCTTCTTTTAGCTCCACCTGAGAATTGTTCGTACGTAGAGAATAAGAGCACTGAGGTGAGGTAGAGGAGGCGAGGGAAAGGGAGAGCTTTGAGATTGGGACAAACAGTGGTGACAGTTAGAAGAAGAACTCACCACGCTTCGGTGGCGCAGCCGGGATCGGTGGTGTTTCTCAGGCAAGAGGTTGCAGGTTCGACTTCTATCAGAGTTGGTTTTTTGATTTTTTCAACACGACTACAAAGGCTTTTCAATATGTTATATCATCAACGGTCGCCTGAAGATAAGTCTATGAGGTTTGCGAGCAGAACCTCTTAGGTTGAGCATTACTTGCCTATAAATGTCAATAGTGCCACTAGCGCTAGATATTCGTATTCAGAGGTCAGTCTACCGCTAGAAACGAGTTTCTGGACAAACCTGAGGTTTTGATGAGACTGAAAAAAGCAGAGCAGTAATAGGGTTTCGTTGATCTTGTAAGGATATAGGCACTGTTCAAAGCAACACCCCTAGATCGAATTTGTGGGGTCACAGCGATTGATAGTGAAGTTGTGGATGGCGAATTGACTAAGAATAAAAAAAGAAGCAAAGAAAACCGTCGATGAAGCCAAAAAAGAAAACCCTTGAAAAAGAAAGGGGCGGGGCCGGACGAGTTGTACGAACTTGCCTGCTCCACGGCTCAACTAACCCGCGCGTATTTGAATTAGCCGCTACGCCGTAATCCACGTTGCGTGTCATGGGGTGTGCGCGACGTAACTCGTCCAAATGCTAAGATTAGTCGCCAAATGCTGACCTAGTAAGATTGTCGCGCATTTCGCGCTAGCTCTCAA